AGGCTCCCACAAAGGCAGCGCCTAAACAGAAGATTGTGAAGCCTGTGAAAGTGTCTGCTCCACGAGTTGGTGGAAAACGCTAAATTGGCAGATCAGATTTTTAAATAAAGATCTGTAATTCTAATTTGTGCTGGGTTTTTACAACTGAAATGTTGGGTCTGTGTGGTAATAGGTGAACTCTAAAGTTCACAGTGTAAGACAGAGACAGTTTAAGTTGATGTTCTAGGAATGGGATTGTGGCTCAGAGTGCATGAGGCCATGGACTCTATCCTGAGCGCCAAAAATAAACATTCTGTTCTTAGGCACAGTGCCTCCTAAGGTCGGCCTTTTGGTTGGCAAGATGTTAGCTGATGCACTAGACATACTAGTTGAGCTCACGTGTATAGGATGCACACGCACTCTTAATCTTCTGGTTACATGGCTGCAAGTTATTAAAATAAACTCTTCTGTCATTTCTCCATGATCAGTAAGACCTGTATACTTAAATTTTGGGTTTGCCTTGTATTAAGTGGATTATCACCAACCTTTAACTACTAGCTAAATTGAAGGTACTTAAGACTATCTGCTGTATCATCTCCTCTTGCTCCTTGAGTATACTGTATTTATTCCCAGAGTAGTTTGTTGAGCTAATGGTTTGACAGGTATGCCAAATTTAAAAACAGTGCTGATGTTCAAGAGCTGTGTATGTGATAAGGAACAGTGTAATTTGACAAAAAACAATATGCTTGCACGTTTATATACAGAGTAGCTTGTCTTTGTAATCTGTGGATTTGAAAAGTTAGGAAGGATACAACAGTGTAGCAAGCCAGATCCTCTGGAGAAACTTGCTTTTACATGCCTAAAGGAATACTAGGTGAAGTTAGTCTATAGTCCTGTGTCCCCTCATCTGCATTGTGCCTATTAAGGAAGTAGTTCGTTTTTCCTTTCTGGTACATGTTAAATTCAGGCACTGTCCCAAATATTGAAATAAAACTTTTGGGGGGGACTTGAAATCTGAAACTGTAAAGTCAGTAAGAAATGTGTGATATAGGCCAGGCAAGGTGTTACACACCACTAATCTTTGCTACAGGAGGCTGAGTCTGGAGGACTGCAATTCTAAGGCTAGCCTGAGCAATTTAGGGAGAACCCATTTCAATCCACAAAGTGCAAGATACTGATAGGCATTTGGGGATAAAAGCAAAACTGAAAATACTACAGTGGGCTTTAGAAAAAGTCCCGGTGGAGAAGCCCTTTTTATTCCTGCTTGTGAAAAAAGTTATTTTTCCACTGTATAGTACATGTTTGCAGTAAATGATTACGTTTACTGTGGGAAGTTAGTACGTGGCCATAACACATGAGTTTTTATCCCACTACCCTTCCTGTTACCTCTTGGTCCCCTTTTTGCGAAAGTTCCCTGTTTTCTACTGTATATCTGAAATGTCCCTTTAAAAGCATTTGTTTTCTGGTGTAATTTGGAACTTACAGTTCTGGTTGCCCAGGAGTCCTTGGCCCGGAAAGAAAGAAACAGTACCTCTCCTGGTTTAAAAAAAAAAAAAAAAAGTATATATAAATAATAAAAAAGTGTATTTATATAATACATATTCCCTAGTAAAAGTTTAGCTTTGCCTAGGAGAGCGATAGTGACCATCAGGAGAGCATTTAAGACATTTCCGTCGGTTGGAAGAACGCACAGCCCGGCCCCGTTTCGCAGTGCTCACACTTGCGGTGCTTCGCGCAGGCGGCGGGCGTCCCCACGTTTCCTCGGGGGCAGCTCTCCCGACCTCCCGTGGGTTCATCTCGGCCCCTGCGGCGTCGCGAGGCCGGCCCCGCGCACGGCTGCAGCGCCCGTGGAGGCAGGTGCGCAGGCGGAGCCCG